GAACTCCTGGGGCCCCGGGTTGGCCAGAGGCGCGGCGGAACATGCTGTCATATGGGAGTCGATGTTCAGGACCCCATTTGGTTAAACCCCCGCGTTTCCGATGGTGCCCCGCCCATTGGAGTCTCGACGACGCGCTGTCTAGGGGTGGGTGTCAAAACGTGGGCGGGGAGCGTCTGTGCTGATTGTTTCGCTACGTTCGGAACGCGCCCCCACGCGGTCTCTAAAGGTTTCTGTCAAGCGGTGGCGGGCGAGCTGGCTTATCACAAAAGCACGGTCAGATTCATAGCCTGTGCCGCTCAGAGAATGCCCGAGGCACGCAGAAGGACCGCGCTCGACCCCGAGCCCCCCCCCCCTTCGCCCCATGACCCCCCCTGCCCGTCCCAAGATTTCTCTCGCCAGCCATGTTGTTTCATCGTGCAGAGGAGCAGGCATATAAGCGCAGGAGGCGCGGGCGCATGGCGCGCACCCCTGCTAGTTTGACGGTCTTGATCTCCTCACGAGAGACACGTGAATGTAGGCCATCACCCATCCGCCAACATGTGTGTGACGCCGAATTCGGTGTGTTCGGTTCGACTTACTCGCTTGTTCGTTCGGGGGCGGTGACGGTTGCTCTGGGGGTGGCGGACACTCTTTGCTTTGACCCTCACGAGGTCGGTGGGCCGCGCGTTTCTCTGCCTCCCGAGCTCAGCTCGGACGTGGATTGTTTCCGCGAGCTGCGTCACGAGGTGATATATTGTGGTCCTGTTTTTTTGGTTGCAGAAGATGCGGGGCCCACGGCGCGCTACGCAGCATGCGAAAGATGCTGGCGGCATGCAAGGGCCCTGCTGGTAACGCCAGCACGCGCGCGAACCAGCGCATGAATGCGCGTCGGGTCGAGCGCGGCCTGCACCCCGAGACGGGGCTGACGATCGCGCTGGCGGAAGGGCGCGAAGGCTGCGTTTCCTCGGCCCTTTTAGGGGCCCGCGCCCGTGGGCCCGCGGGGCTCTGGCGCGGCGGGTGGCGAGGATCACCGCGCCGTGCCCTGCGGCGTCGTGCCGTCGAGGATTCCTCGACGCAAAGAGCTCGCCGAAAACGGTGCGAGCTCAAGTTCTGACTAGGTAGGGGTCGCCCGCCGCCGTCGCGTCGCCCGCCCGCCCCGCCGCGCCGCAACTTCCTCATTGGCGTGGTGGCGGAGCTGGCATTGCGCGGCAGGCAGGCGCGGCCGACCCCCTGAACTGGGCCACCTGGTCCCGCCTCGGCGGTTCCAGGTGTCGCTGAGGTCCGCACCTCTCCTCGCCACTCCTCTTCCATGCTCGACATGCACACAATACATGCCCCCCCCACCCCACCCACACACAGACACACACACACACACACACACAGACACACACACACACACAGACACACACACACACACACACTTCCTCCTGACGCATCACACGCACCAGACGCATGCAACGCACGCGCGGCGGGCTCGCAAAACGTGGCAAACGTTGCACTTCCTCGGCGCCGCAGGGGGTGCGCTGGCGGTGGGAGCGCAATCCGTTTCGGGCTCGCGAAGTGGCACTTCCTCGACACCACACGGGGTGCGACGCGGGTGCGAGCGATATCCGTTTCGGGCCCGCGAAGCGTGGCAGGCGTGACACTTCCTCGACGCCACAGGGAGTGCGCTAGCGGTGGAAGCGCTATCCGCTTCGGGCTCGCATGCCTGGCAGGCGTGGCACATCTCCGACACCACACGGGGTGGGTCTCTGAGCGCGGCATCGACTTTCTGCGCGACGTGGAAGGCCCAGCCGGCTGGTGGGGTCAACGTGGCGGTTAGCCAGTAACGCCCAGGTTTTTCTGCCCTTCCTGGACCCCTCTCAGGGTACTCAGGCTCCCAAGGCTTGACCGGCGCCACCAACAGTATCGGCGAAGCAACGGCCACCTGCATCAGCGTCGTCAGTTATCAGCACGCCAGGCATGTTGTAAGTATGTGGGGCTCTTCGGCCGCGCATTTTGACTCTGTTTGATTTTTGTCCTCCAACATCCGCTCGTAGGAGGACGCGCCCGACCTAAATCTAGGAGGCCTCGAGTTGAGTGCAGGCGCGCCCCCTGCGAATCATGGCGCCGCCGAGCAGAGGGCGCGCGGGCCGCTCTCGCCGCGCCCCGCCCCGGCGGTTGCGGCGGGCGCCGTCGGAGGAGGCCTCTACGGGCAGGCGCGCCTTCTGTGAATCCTGGCGCCGCCGAGCAGCGGGCGCGCGGGCCGCGCTCGCCGCGCCCCGCCCGGGCGGCTGCGGGGAGGGGCGCCCTCGGCCCAACCTCTGGGGGGGGGGGGGACGCGGCTCTGCGCCGCGGAGCGCGCCAGTGGGTTCCGGCGGGGCGGGATGGGCCGGGCGGTGGCCGAACAGAAAACAAGGAGGCCCCAGGAGGCGAGAAACATCACCGATTGGGGGGACAAAGAATCATTCGCTGGCGCGCGGAACGCGCCAGAGGCGGCGCCGGAAGCGCCGCCAGGGGGCTCCAGCGCGGATCCAAGAAATCCGCGTGGACCTCCGAGTTCTTATATTTATGTCGCTTTTCACTCCTCTGCAGAAGGTCCCAAGAGGCAAGCATCATTGATGTTCCGTCGTTCCTGACGTTGATGTGGAGTTTCCCGCCCTTTTTTATAAATTCAGAACGTAGGCATCAACCCAGGAATAATCCACGACCGCTCAAGATTCAAGACCGATCCGAGCCTATGGACCGCCCATGCCGTCGTCGTCGTCGTCCGTCGTCCGTCGTCGCCGTCGTCATCGACGTCGACGTCGTCGTCGACGTGATCGTCGTCGTCGTCGCCGTCGTCCGTCGTCCGTCGTCGTCGTCGTCGGCGTCGTCGTCGTCGTTCGTCGTTCGCCGTTGTCCGCCGTCGTCGTCGTCGCTTCGTCGCCCTCGTCGTCGTCGTCCGTCGTTCGTCGTCCGTCGTCGTCGTCGTCGTTCGTCGTTCGCCGTCGTCGTCGCTTCGTCGCCCTCGTCGTCATCGTCGTCGCCGTCGCCGTCGTCGTCCGCGTCGTCGTGGTTGCCGTCGTGCGCCGCGGAGGTCCCGCAACTTTCGCCAGGAGGGAAAGTGGTCTTGTGGGACAAGTGTCCTCAGGATTTTGGCGTTTCCGGGTCGAAGCCCGAACGACCTCGAACCTCGACGTTCGAATACCCCTTCTTGAGGCATGCGCAGCTTCTGATCAAGGGTTGGGGAGGAGGAGTATGAGGAAATGGGGGGGAGGAGGAGGACGAGGAGGAGGAAGAGCAGGAGCAGGCGGAGAACGGGCAAGATGAACAGAAGGACAGGTAGGGAAAAGGAGGAGGCAAGAGGAAAAGTCGAGGAGGAGATCGTGGCCCAGGAAGGGGAAGGGGAGGAGGAGGAGGAGGAGGGGGAGGAGGAGGAGGAGGCGAGAGGAGGAGGAGGAGGAGAAGGAGGAGGAGGAGGCGAGAGGAGGAGGAGGAGGAGAGGAGGAGGAGGAGGAGGAGGAGGAGGAGAAAGAGGAGCAGGAGGAGCAGAGAGCAGAGAGCAGAGAGCAGAGAGCAGGAGGGAGGAGAAGGGAGGAGGCTTCCACGAGGGTCCGCACAGCACAGAAGCTTTCAAGACGCCCGCGAAGGGCCGTCCAGAGCCCCTCACGGGTCATCTCAGATGCCCGATCTGGGGCCCGGGGGAGCAGGGGAGGAGAGGGCGAGCCATGCTGAGCACAGCAGGAACCGTGGATGAGTGGGGCACAGACGAAACAGAGGAGAAGGAGTAAAAGGAGGAGGAGTGGGAGGAGGAGGAGGAGGAGGAGGACCACAGAGGAGCAAAGAGGGAGCAGGGAGAGGAGAGGGTAAAGGGAGAACCACGGAGGGAGCAGAGAAGGAAGGGGAGGAGGAGGAGGAAGAGGAGGAGGAGGAGGAGGAGGAGGACCACAGCAACGGCGAGGACCGAGGGGAGCGAGGACGGGAGAGGGCCGAGGCGGACGGAGGCTCCGCAAAACCCCCGTGCGGGGAGATCCCCAGTGCCGCCCATGACACGAGCGAGAACGGTCGCCACTGCGAAAAAGTGCGACCAGAACCTAAGCGCGCGTGCCCTGCGCGTGGTCCTAGTATGTAATTATGTATGCATGTATGCATGTATGTATGTATGTATGCATGTATGCATGCATGCATGCATGCAGGTAGGTAGGTAGGTAGGTATGTAGGTATGTGCGTATACATGTATGTATGGTTGTATGTATGCATGTATGTCTGTCTGTCTGTCTGTCTGTCTGTCTGTCTGTCTGTCTGTATGGATGGATGGATGGATGTATGTATGTGTGTATGTGTATATATGTATGTATGTATGTATGTATGTATGTATGTATGTATGTATGTATGTATGTATGTATGTATGTATGTATGTGTGAATGTATGTGTATGTATGCATGCATGTATGTATGTATGTATGTGTGTATGTATGTATGTATGTGTGTGTGTAGGGATGTATGTATGTATGTATGTATGTATGTATGTATGTATGCATGTATGTATGTATGTATGTATGTATGTATGTATGTATGTATGGATATGTGTATGTATGTATGTATGTATGTATGTATGCATGCATGCATGTATGTATGTATGTATGTATGCATGCATGTATGTATGTATGTATGTATGTATGTGTGTATGCATATATATATATATATATAAATGTATGTATGTGTGTATGCATGTATGTATGCATGTATGTATGTATGTATGCATACATGCACGCATGCATGCATGCATGTACGTCTGTACGTATGTATGTATGTAGGTAGGTAGGCAGGCAGGCAGGTAGGTAGGTAGGTGGGCCGGTATGTATGTGGATGCATTAAACAGAAACACGCTACCACGAAGAAGCCCCCAGAGTTGCCTCCCTAGAGATCGATGTGTTGTTTTTGCTCCAGGACGGGCTCCCCAGAAGCCACGACCCCTGTCCCACAGGACCGGCTTATCATCCTAAATCGTTCTTGTTGGCCGGATACCTCCCAGCAGCTGCACCCCAAACGCCTCTGCAGGCGATCGCCGCCGCCGCCTCGCGCGGGCGCCTCGGCAGCCTGGCCGTCCTCGGCCTCGAGGGCAACGCCGTGGGCGACGCGGGCGCGGAGGCACTGGCGCGGGCCGCCGCTGCTGGTGCGCTGCCCAGACTCCAGGAGCCGAGCCGCCGCGGACGACATCCTCTTCGTTCTCCTCCCAGGGGCGACGTTAGTGGGGGATAGGCTCAGGAGGGGGCATCTTGGAGGCCTCTGGTCTGGGGCATCTTGCAGGGGCAACGTCGGGGGGAGATTGATCTGGATGTTTGACGTTTGTCGGCGGTGTTCGTCGGCTCCTGGTGCCTTTCCAGCCTCGGGATGCTCTCCAGCAGCTGCGCCTCGCTGAAGCGTTCTGGGGGTTCCAGGATCGTCCCGAGCGGCCTCCGAAGAACCGAGCTACGACTTGGAAGCCAGGGGGCCGCGCTATGGGGGGGTAGGCTCCAGGGGGAGGCATCGGCCCCCAACCGGCCATTCTTCGCCAATGGGGCTCCAGAGCTCAGACAGGCTTCATTCAAGAGGCGTATTCACGCCATTCCGCCGACCCCCAGACGAGGCGTGGAGTCCACAGTTGAGGCGTCGTGAGTCTCTTGGGCATGATGTGGGAATTCTTGTGGGCATCTCGAGAGCTGTTTGAGGGCCTGGCGGGGTCTCCTGGGGGCAGTTCTGGAGCGAGTTGGCGGCCGCCTGGGGGCCTCTTTTGGCACTCCCGCTCTCCGCCAGTGGGGGCCCGAATCTCCAGAAGCTCTTATTCGCGCAGCTTTCTGCTTCCCCGTCCCTCCCCTCCCCCTCGCCTCCTCGCTGCCGTCCTTCTCCAGAGCAGTCGGGCCCGCCCCGCTCTCTGGCGCGAGGGGCACTGTCGGGTCTGTGCAGTTCACGGAGCGGCCCCGGCGCGCGGGGCCGAGCGTGGGCGTTCTGAGGCCCCGATCGAGAGGAGCACGGGGACGAGGAGGGTCAGAGGCCGTAAGCTGTACGTTCCCGCCGCCCGCGCAGCACGGGTGTCTCACGACCCCAGGCGGGGGACACACTGGTCGCTGAGGGCCCCCCTCGGACAGCGGAGGGCCGTGCCCTCGAAGTTGTTGCCTGAGTCTGCGGGGCGTGAGACGGTATGAGTGGGTGCAGTCCGATCAGGATGGCAGGGAATGATGGCGACGACGGCGACGAGGGCAACAGCTGATGCGGTCATGATCACGGCGGCGGCCATGGGCGCCGGTAACATGATGCTGAAAACGTGTGTCGACGTCAACGATTGCGGGAGGACACAGGCGAGTCCCCCCTTACAGTTCTGGGAGGCCGCGCGGGCCTGACATGTGGAGTCGCAAACTCCTGGTCAGGGGTGGGGAGTCCCCGAACTGTCAGTCGACGAGTGGGCACCCTGACATTCCCGCGCACGTGTGGGATAGCCACATCTGATAGCCCCTCGCCGCCCGATGATTGGATGCTGGAAGCAATCCGTGCCCATAGGCAGACGATGCAGCGACCAGCATCCGAGCCGCTAGGACGAGAGGATGGGAGGACGAGGAGGAGGCAGGGAGCCTTTCGGAGGAGGACAGTTCTTTTGTGCATTGGCGTGACGACCGCAACACTCCTCCACGCAGGGAGAGGACAGTTTTTTTTGCAACGGCGTGACGCCCGCAGCACTCCTGCATGCAGGAAGAGGACAGGGCCGAGACTGACTTCCCTGAGATATCGAGGGGGGGCTCCTATAATGGGCCCCTTTTCCACCACCACTACCATAGGTAGGAGAAGGAGGAGGAGGAGGAGGAGGACCTCCCCATCCTCCCTTCTCTCCCGTCCTACATATGGTAGTGGTGGTGGAAAATTTGCCCATCATCCTACCCTGGCAGACACTCGTCCACACCCAGCCCCGAGCGTGCGTGCAGGCCCAGGCATCCGTCCGTGAGATGTTTTTGTCAATGCACGGCCCCCAGGGGTCCCGGCCCACTCCCAGCCACGCGCAGAGAGGGGTGCAGTGGAGGCCCATGCCAAGAAACGCCCTGCTTGCCTCCAGGGTGCCCTGGATTTCTTGGGCTTCGATGGCTCTGCGATGGAAAGCGTGGCGTTCCCACGCCAAGCATCTAGTGGACGTCCTGGGGCCTCAGGGTTGGGTTTCTTGTGGCATGCTTCTCGCGGACTGGCCTCCCGTGTAGGGAGAGGGGGATGGCCTCTCAGAAGCGCCCGTGCTCCTTGACTGGTCGCGGACCTCGTCTGCAGATGCAGGGCGGTCGCCTTCTAGGAAGCGGCCTGCTTCTAAGAGGCCTTCCCCCCGTGCCCCTGCCCCGCGGCGCGCGCCGCCACCCAGGGGGGGGGGCGGGTTGCCGTCGCCCGCCGGCCCGCTCTTGACAAGCCCCCCGGGGGGGAGGCGGTGGCGTGCCCGGGGCCTCGACGGCTGCCGATGCCGATTCGCTTCGGCCTGGGATCGGGGGCGGCAAAGAGGGGGGTGATGACTAGGTGGGGGGGATATCATGGCGGGGGCCAGGATAGATCCCCAGATCTCGTGGCGCCTCTTCTTGTTTCATACGTCCCTGGCCCCCCCGCTGGGCCGCGCAGATGCCGCCGGTCATGATTTGCACCCCCCCTCTTGGCCGCTCCCGATTCGGCCTGGGACTCCGATTTCGGTTCCGATTTTTCCATGGAGGCACGCTAGCCTGCCCATGTCCGCCGAGTCGACGTCGATTCGATTCTGGGCCCACCGGCGTGCCCCAACGCTTGACAAACAACATTTATCTACTCCGGATCTCTGAGGGCAAGCAGAGGACAGTACCTACCACTGCAGCCCGAGAAAGCGCAGAGGGCGCAACGACCAGTGCCCGTACCCCCAGACTCTACCCACGCAACTCCGCATAAGAAGCATAGAGGTTCAAACGCTTCACACACCTTGCAGGCCCTGAGCCTCGACTGGACTGCACCGGGGCAATCGCGCGGGCTTCGCACGCGCTGCGCGTGAAGGCCATGCACCATCGTACACGCCCTGCACGCCAGGGGAGGTGAGAGAGGGGGAGGAGGAAAAGCCAGGAGTGCTCGTGCCATACCCAACATCCGATCCCTCCCTTCCATCCCTTCCCACGGTGCTGATTTATCCACGAGGACCACATCGTGGTAAAGACCCCTAAAAGACCCCTATCGTGTTATGCGCGCTGGAAGAAAAGGGAAATGTGTGGGACCTGTGCGACCTGGGGACCTCCTATGGGGCCTTTGAAACCTGCGACACCTGTGGGACCAGAGAAACCTGTTGGACCTGTGGGACCTGTGGGAAGTGTGGGGCCTGTGAGACCCGCGAGACCTATGTGACCCGCGGCACCAGCGGAACCGGCGGGACCTGTGGGATGTGTGGGACTCCTGTGGAATTTGTGAGACATGCGACACTTATCGGGACCTGTGGGACCTGCGGGACCTGTCGGATTTGTCGGACCAGTGGGGCATGCGAGATCTGCGACACTCGTGGGACCTGTGGGCCCTGTGGGACCTGTCAGGCCAGCTGTACCTGTGGGACGAGGTACTACACTTATGGGTCCTGTGGGAGCTGTAGGGCCTGCGAGACCTGTAGGACCTGCGAGACCTTCGGGATCCAGAATAATTGCCCACGCTGGGGCGGGAGCGCTATTCTGAACGACGAGAGGACAGCGCCGATCCGGAAATGAGGTCGCGCTGCAGCGAGAGCATTCTATTGGAAGGAACACAACCGATCGAAGTAAGACAACACGTAAGAAAAAAGCGCGCCCGCGCAAAACATGTGCGTAACAACACTATGCGAAGGCGGGGCGGCTACTCTCTGGACATTTCCTTCACATGGTCAGGGGGTGAGAGGAGAGTAGTAGTCAGATTGTGTAACTGTGGAAGCTAAGGAAGAGGGAGGGAGGAGGAGGAGTAGGAGGAGGACAAGGAGGAGGACGAGGAGGAGGAGGAGGAGGAGGAGGAGGTGGACGAGGAGGAGAGGAGGAGGAGGAAGAAGGAGGAGTGAGAGGAGGAGGAGGAGGAGAGGAGGAGGAGAGGAGGAGGAGGAGGAGGAGGAGGAGGAGGAGGAGGAGGAGGAGGAGGAGGAGGAGGAGGAGGAGGAGGAGGAGGAGGGAGGAGGAGGAGGAGGAGGAGGAGGAGGAGGAAAAGGAAGAGGAGGAGCAGGGAGGATGTAGAATTATGGAATATCCCGAACGATTTTACTACCGCAGGGCTTGTTCTGCGGACGTGGCCGAAGTGCGGCCGCTGCCGGGTGGCCCGAAAAGCAGGCGACGAGACCCGTGCTGTTGCCGCTCTCGAGTGGCTCCCAGCCTTGTGCTGGTGGCCCGCAGCCCCACCGCCTACAGACCCCCGACGTCGCGTCTGTTCGAGTAGGGGATCGACCTTCGTGGGCCCTGGAAACGACAGGGCCGCTCTTTCGCCAGCTCCATGCTGCTGTTTTTTGTTAAACGGTCCCGCCGCCGTTTTTGCCCCCGGTGCGGTCGCCGCTTGTTTGCAGGTTCCGGATCTGGTTCCAATCCCGGGGCCGTGTTTGTTGCCGTTCCTGGTGACTTTTTTTAACCGTTTCCATTTTCAAGAGATTTGGTCGAAAACAACGGAAAAACGGTTACCCCAGAGTTCATGTGTTCGTCGATTTGCAAACAAACATTCCATTTATTGTTGGTGAGAATTTGATGAGAAAGCCAATTGGGGCACATTAATTCTGTAGTCGATCCACTACTCGATTTCTGAATGACGTGGATCCTTGGAGCTCTCGGCCTTCTCTGGGAGCCAGGTTTCATCCAGAGTTTTGTTGACTGCCCAGGCGCCCAGTGAGGGTCCCCATGAGGCCGAGATCTTCCCCGAAAACGTCTTGGTCTAATCCTCCCAGAGGGGTCGGGAGTAACTAGGGGGGATCGGAGGATCGCGCCGCATCGCCCGCGCCAAATCGCCGACGTATCGGCGATGCGGCTCGATGTGGACTCCGATTTTCTCCACCCCGACGTTGCCGATGCATCGCCGACGCCGCCCGCTGGATCGCCCATGCATCGACGATGCATCGCCGGTACCTCGGCGATGCGGCGCGATGCTCCGACCTCGTCTACTACTCCGACCGCCTCCAGGAAGCATCTGCCTGCCTGGGGCTTATGATGTTCCAGTCGACTTTAGCCATGATCACCAGCAAGAGTGTGGAGCATCAAGAGAGTGCCGATACTGACGGGTTTTCGCGTGCCGGGCCCTGGGAGGCGCGACTCGTTCGACGCTGCTTCGACCCTCCTCCTGGGTGCTCGAAGTCGTGCCTGGGGCGTGGTCTCGAAGCACGCTGTGAGCAGCGTAGCCGGTGGCGTGAGGCTCTTCCCCGTGGCGCGCGGGGGTCTGGGCGCCCGCAGCAATGAAGCCGCGGGGCCGATGAGCCCGGCGCGCCGGGCGCCTCCCGCGCCCCCCCGCTGGCTCCTGGGTCTACTCGCCGCGGCCCTCCGCTGGGTGCCGGCCGGCGGGTCCCGCGCGGGCGCCTCGGCGGCCCGGGGCCACAGGGAGGAGGAGGAGGGGGGCCAGCAGCGGCACCGTAGTCCTCCTCCCCGCCTCCTCCCTCCTCCCGCCTCCCGCCTCCCTCCTCCCTCCTCCCTCCTCCCTCCCTCCCTCCTCCCTCCTCCCTCCTCCTGCCTCCCTCCCTTCGTGGGCCCTGGAAACGACAGGGCCGTTCTTGTGACCGGTTCCGTTTTGCCGTTTTGTTGCCGGTTCTGACGCCGTGTTTTTACCGGTTCCGTCGCCGTTTTTTGACTGGTTCCGGCTCCGGTTCCAATCCTGAAGATGTTTTTTTGACGTTTCCGGTCGCCGTTTCTTTCCGTTACCATTTTCAAGGGACATTGTTTCAGAAATTGTGAAAAAACGGCTTTGTCGCTTCCGGGGCCCACAAAGCTCCTTCCTACCTCCTCCATCCTCCTCCTCCTCCTCCTCCTCCTCCTCCTCCTCCTCCCTAACCTCCTCCTCCTCTCCTCCCTCCTCCTCCCTCCCTCCTCCTCCTCCTCTCCTCTTCCTCCTCCTCCTCCTCCTCCCTCCTCCTCCTCCCTCCTCCTCCTCCTCCTCCTCCTCCTCCTCCTCCTCCTCCTCCTCGCTCCTCCTCCTCCTCCTCATCCTCCCTCCTCCTCGTCCTCGTCGCGTCCTCCTCCCTCCTCCTCCTCCTCCTCCTCCTCCTCCTCCTCCTCCTCCTCCTCCTCCTCCTCCCCCTCCAGAGATCCGACAACAGGTTTTTTCGCTGTGTTCGGCCTTCAGGGGCCCCTGCCGGGCCGCTGGATCGTCAAAAGACGACTCAGGATGGAAGTGCGGTCCTGGGGAAGGGGTCGAGACGTCTGGTGGCCCCGCATTGAAAACATCACGACGTCGGATCTCAGGGAGGGCGACGAGGCGACGATGCGAGGCAGTGCCCCGGCACTGCTCCGGAGCATGCTCAAGGCAGCCTCAAAGCAGTGCCCTGGCCCTGCCGAGTTTGGCCTCGTCCCGGCTTCCTCCTACTCGCGGCGTCACCCCAACATATTTGTATCAGATGTGCGTCGCCCCATCCAGGGGCGACGCGCGCACCAAGACATCTTACAATATATCCGTCCCGGCGGGCGCTTTCTGACCACACCGCTCGGGAAACGGTATACCACAAGATGCGCATACCATATGTTCGGTTCGGACGCGCGCCTCCAAGGCGGACATACAGTACTGGCATGCCTCGTTGCTTCCTCCTCCTTCGGCGCTGGCCGCCAGCCCAGCCGGCCGATGCCCCCCCGCTCAGCGGCACCGTGACGGGTACTCACTAACGGTCACTCTGGAAAGTAGCCCGAAGTTGCCATTTTAGGGCCTCTTTCTGGCATCGCAGAGGTGCCCACATCTGGGAGGCCTGGGTTCGCCGGGTCACTGGCCAAAGTGCCCGTCCGTGGAGTCCCCGTTGCCCGTTAGAGGGGCGCTGAGGCCACGACAGGGGGGTATAGTGAGGGGAAGGACATCGGGGGGGATAACTAGGCTCAGGGAATACGGGGCGTGAAAACGACAACAGCCACTGCTTTTCTTGTGTTGCCGCCTTCCAGCCCGCAAAAACAAAGCAGTGGCTGTGGTCATTTTCGTAGTGCCTGGCACCAGGGAAATGACCACAGCCGCTGCTTCTTCTTTTTCGGCCGGCTGGAAGGCGGCGCAAACAAGAAGCAGTAGCTGTGGTCATTTCCCCGTCCCGCAGGGAAGATGCCTCTGGGGTCGAGTTCGAGGCGTCCAGCTTCTTGATGTGTTCGTCGGTTCCCTGCGGCCTCCCAACCTCCGGATGCGTTCCAGCTGCCGCGCCTCGCCGAGGGCGCTCCCGGGGGGGCCGGAGTCGCCCCGAACGGCATAGGGAGGCCACGTCGAGGGGGGGCCACGTCAGGATATGTCGACCCCTATCCCAGGCTTTGAGAGGTTTTCCACTGGACCAGGGATTTGAGGCCCAACCCTGGGATACATATTATATATATATATATATATATATATATATATATATATATATATATATATATGTGTATGTATATATATATATATAGACAGTGGGGGGGGCGTCTACCCTCGATAGAGGTGCTTCCGAACAGCCCCCTTGGGGCGTATCCTGGGGGTTCCCCCTTTTTCTGAGCGGCCAGCAATTCTCGGGCGGAGCCGAGGGATTCGGGGAGGAACAGCGGGGATTTGGGGGCCACGTCAGGGGGGTTACGTCAGATGTCAAGCAGTAGCGAAGCGTCCCAGCTTGCTTACAGGTCCAGCAAAGAATATTCCAGGAACCTTTGTGGCCTGCGCGGAATGTTCTTCGAGCATTTATGCTTGATGTTGTTCTGTTCCAAAACACTGGGCGCATGTTCTAAAAACACTGCTCTCGTTCTTCGAGCACTGCTCGGTTGTAGTATCAAGTCTTGGCAGGCCTACAGGACTGCCGGGACCGTCGGTCTCTGCTCAAATTGGGCGCTGCGTAATGGGGGGGTCATAAATGGGGGGGTGGCGAGGGTGGTCCGAAAAGGTACCCAAACGGTACTTAAACGAGCCCCCTGGGGCTCCGGAGGGGCCCGAAAGGGGCACGAAAGGGGACCTTTTCTGACCCCCCCATTTGTGACCCCCCCATTAAGCCACGCCCAATCAAAGGGGGGGGGAGCGGTTCCGAGGGGGGTCCCAGACGTGCTCGCGCCCTGAGCAACATCACGGCGGGAGGTGCTTGGCAGCATTCGGCTCCGGGGGGCCCTCGCAGAGCCCACGGGGGGGCCGGGGGGCGTCTCAGAAAAAGCGACTCGGGGCGCGAGCCCGGTCCCAGGGAAGGCCCAGTCAGCGGAGGAAAAGCAAGGGCTCCCACGAGGGCGCGAAGTTCTTCGCGCTTCGCGCTTCGCGGTCCTCGCTCCTTCTCCCCCTCCTCCTCGTCCTCCTTTTCTCCCTTTGGGGGGGCGGCGCGAGAGCGCGAAGTTATTCGCGCCTCGCGCTTCGCGGAGCGCGAAGCGCGAAGTTGGGAGCCCTAGAAAAGGTACCCACACCTCTACCCTCCTCCCGTTTTCCTTTTTCTGTTGGGCCTCCCGGAGGGGCACTCGTCGCCACCGCCGGATTCGCTTCGGAACCCTGGTCAGAACACCTCGGGAGAGGTCCGGGGAGTAGCGGCATCGGTACCTTTTGGGTTCCCCGGTCAGGGCTTCGGAACCCCGCATCCAACCACACAGTACAGCAGACTTCTGGGAGGTCAGGGGGGACACGCCAACCGGGGTTGATGGGTTGACGACGCCGATCTGGCGGCGACGGGTCGCCGACTCCGAGTCTGTGCTCCCCTCGGGCCGAACGAAAGGGGGGGATAGGGAAAGGGGGGGGTACGAAATCTGCTGCATGCAGCTGGTTTCGGCCCCGCCGCTGGGCTCATTCCTCGATGTATCGAGGAATGGGCCCGGCGCTGGGAAAATCAGCTACGTGAGCTGATTCTCTACCCTACCTTTTGCTATCAACCCTTCGTTCTCCCCGGTTGTGTCCACAATCTCCTTGTACAGGGGGACATGCCCGACCTAATCTTGATTGCCTGGGGCTACCGTTGCACCCTGCGGTCGTCTTCTGGCGGTCCGGGTGCCCGGCGAGGGCCCCCAGAAGCGGAGCCCGAGCGCGGCAGACAACAAAACCTCCGCACGGGATTTCCCGAGGCGCTGGAGGGCCGTCCGGAGAGGCGGTTCGAGACGCAGTCGTCGACGGTGTGTGAGGCTTTTGGTATGCTGCGCGAGGTGCGCTTATGTAGCATCTGCAGACGCTGCTCGAGACGTGCACATCCCTGACCTTCCAGGAGGGCTAAAAAATAGCACCCGACTTAAAAACCTATCCCAAAGCTATTATACGTCTTGGTTTTAGGCTGTTTCGCTCGGCTTTTTAGGTTTTTGGGTATCCAGTGCTAAAAAATAGCTCTCTGGAAGGTCAGGGATTGGGCGTGCCAAAGAGGGCCTCGCCCTCGAGGATCGAAGGAGTCGTCGTTTTTCTTCCTCGGCGGAGGGGCGGCAGACGGTCGGCGGAAGGCGAACGGGGCCGCCTCCGCCGGCGGAAGCCAGCGGATGCCGGCGGCGGCAGGCGGTGGGAGTGAAAAAGTGCGCCCCCCAAAGAGATGACAACATTATCAAGGGCGCCCTCGAGGGCGCGAAGTTATTCGCGCTTCGCGCTTCGCGGTTCGGCTCCGATTCCTCCTCGTCCTCCTCTTCTCCCCTGGGAGGCGGCGCCAGAGGGCGAAGTTATTCGCACTTCGCGCTTCGCGCAGCGCGAAGCGCGAAGTTGGGAGCCCTTAATTATTGTTGGGTTCCTAGTTTCCAGAGTCCGCCATACGAGTGACGCAAGAAAACGGGGTCGCCTGCGCCGACATTGGCGCGTAAGCTGCCCGCGTAAGGTCGCGCGTGAGCGTCCTTGCTTCAAATGTGGCGTGCCGCGCGGGCGGCCCGCGTAGGCCACCGCGTAAGACTGCTGCTCTGCGTCATCCCGCGCAACACCCATTTTTTAGATCGTCGCTCAGATGGAGCGCTGGAGGTTTGCAGGCGGGCCGGCGGGGGTAGGAGGAGGAGGAGGAGGAGGAGGAGGAGGAGGAGGAGGAGGAGGAGGAGGAGGAGGAGGCGGAGGAGGAGGAGGAGGAGGAGGAGGAGGATGAGGTGGAGGAGGAGGGGAGGAGAGGAGAGGGAGGAGGAGGAGGAGGAGGAGAGGAGGAGGAGGAGGAGGATCGCTCCCCTGCAGGCGGGCGCGAGGGGGCGCTGGAGGGCTGCCGCCGCCGGCGCGCGCGAGGAAACGGGCGCTGTCACGGCAGGCGGCCCCGGCGGGGGCGTGGCCCTTGCGGGGCTGGGGGCGCTGGCGCACGCGGAGCCCTCCAGAGATCGGGCCGGGCGAAGGGGGGGGATAGCAAATCGGGGCCTAAGAGACGGGGGTCAATGCAAACGGGGGTCAGCCAGGGCACCAGATCCTGCAGGATCCTGCGAAGACCCCCTCTGGCTGACCCAGGTTAGCGAGCCGCTCGTGGCCGCGAGGCGGCCGCACATATTGGCTGACCCGGGTTTGCGATGACCTGCGTTGCAGTTTTTTGTTGTTGCATTGCAGTTTTTGGTTTCCTGCTGACCCAGGTCTGGATTGACCCGGGTCAGAAGATCCCCGAGCAAAGGGGGGGGTGAGAATCAGCTCACGTAGCTGGTTTTCATGGCGCCGGGAGGCGCCCATGTATCGAGGAGTGGGCCCGGCGGCGGGGCCGAAGCCAACTGCGTGCAGCAGATTTCGTACCCCCCCCTTTCCCTATCCCCCCTTTCGTTCGGCCCGAAGAGACCCCCTCGCGTCGTGGAGAAACATCGAAGAAGAAAAGACCACACAAACATAAACTTTTGGCGCTCCGCGCGGGTCTCTTGGATCCGCGCCTGGGCCCCCCGGCGGCGCCTCCAGCGCCGCCCCTGGCGCGCTCTGCAGACCTCCCAAGGGCACGGAGCAGTCAGACAGGTGGAGGTTTGTCCCCCTTTTCGGCCTCTCCCCGGGCCCCGGGACCGTCCACAAGCGACTCGGGTTGAAACGCTGGCGCCGGGGAAAGGTTCGGGACTTCCAGGGGCCACTATTTGAAAAATCAAAACGTCGGATCTCTGGGACTGATGTCTGGAGATCCAGCTTTGCAATGTTTTCACACCGCGCTTTCTCGCTTGCTCTATAGCCTTGGGGTCATCACGGATTGATCTGGCTCGGAAAACATGTTTAGAAAAACATTGTGTAGGGTTCATGCCGTGATTTCCCACGATGTTGTATTTTAAAGCAACGTCAACGTCGGATTTCACGGGTCTCTTGGGGGCCCTCGCCGAGCCTTGGGACCTTACCAACACCACTCGCGGGATGAAAAGCCGGTCCTGGAGAATTGATCTAGATTTCTGGGAGTCGTTTTGGGGAAAAAACGCGACGTCGGGGGTCTCAGACCGGAGAACAGACGGCATTAGCAGAAGTTTTAGGAGGTACGCGCGGATACTTCTCGGAGCGGCGCTGGAGCCCCTAATTAGGCGGCGCCTGCCTCGGGCTTATCCTTATCCCAGACGATCGACAAGCCCAATCGGGGGCGGAAAAGAAGGGGGGTGATGGCTAAGGGGGGGGGTGGATATCATTGCGGGGGTCATGATGTTTCCCCAGATTTCATGGCGCCTCTTCTTATTTCATTACGTCCCTGGCCCCCCCGCTGGGCCGCGCACATGCCGCCGCCGGCCATGATTTGCACCCCCCCCCTCTTGGACACCCCCCTCTTGGCCGCTCCCGACCCAAGCGCGATGCCAATCTCAGAGGTGCGTCCTCGGAAAGTGAGGGAACCTGCAAGATCGGCATCCAGAGAAGGCGATACCAATCAGATGGATATAGATGTGCCCCAGGCCTGTAAGGACCTCCGAAGGTTTCTGTCTATGAAGCTCTCCCTCTCCAGGAGCACGCGGGCCGCCGGGGCGCGCAGGGCGAGCACGGCGGGTCTTCGGCAGGGCAGGGCGACCTTCGCTCGCGCGGCGGCCCTGGCTCACACGGCGGCGGCCAGGGCGAGCGCTCCGACGGAGAGCTCGATTCCAGCGAGGTGCCCGATGGCCATGGCGACCACGGCTCCCAGGAGACGCACGGTCATGGTGCAGCCCAGCATCACGGCGCCGACGGGGGGCAGGGCGACTCCGACGGAGAGCTCGATTCCAGCGAGGTGCCCGATGGCCATGGCGACCACGGCTCCCAGGAGACGCACGGTCATGGTGCAGCCCGGCATCACGTCGCCGACGGGGGGCAGGGCGACTCCGACGGAAAGCTCGATTCCAGCGAGGTGCCCGATGACCATGGCGACCACGGCTCCCACGAGACGCACGGTCATGGTGCAGCCCAGCATCACGGCGCCGACGGGGGGGAGCACGACCATGGGCCTACGGGCCGTGGTGCAAGTTCGGTTGCCATTGGTCTTGTGACGACGACAATCATGATCCCAGTGGTTCTCTCCATGGCTCTTAGCGAGGGGCTTCTCGGTATACTCACGATGAAATTACTTGATACGTTTGTATCGATATTCTTGGCCGTGCTGTGGTTTAGCGCCTTCAACCAGACTCTCATCACTTTCGGTGTGGCATCATGGTTTCCATTTGCAAAACAAGTAGCTTGTTTATTGCAAGTGATGATGCTTTATATAGTGGCTATCACCGTTGCGTGGCTGTGGCGTGACAAGCACATGCAGCTGACCACGTTCACCGTCTGTGGTGCCCATTATATCGCCTTCGCCGGTATTGGTGCGACCAACCACGTCCAGGAATCCGCCGTTGGCGATGAGTGGTCTGTGTGGTCGTCGTTAGCGTCGCTCGGTTTCGTGATAATGACCGTGGGCTTTCTGAGCGCAATGTATGTGCTCAATTGGGTATTTTTCAGATGGAAAAGGGTAGGTGACTGTGCTTTCCAGCGGTCCGTTGACGAAATGGAGGTGGACATTGCAGGATTAGTTTCTTCTTTCTTAGTTACGCAAGCTGTGCAGCATGCTATAACAGGAGAGTATCCGCATGCGCACCTTTTTCTACAGCTGATTGCCCGGCAAGGAATAGAGACCACGCATTTGCAACGGACTGCCATGCTCGTTTGGTCGACAGTGCTTACATTCGTCGCGGGGTTGTGTCTGCCAATGTTGGAAGAGTACACGATCAAGAAGGATGATCACTGGGCTCGCCGCAGCCATCGTTTCCTCAAGGTCTTCATGGTCATGATGGTTGCGTGGGGGTACCTGATCTGGGGCACCTGGCAGTTCCAGATGTACTACAGCGGCGATCAGATGTATGGACACATGCTGTTCGCCTCGCTGTGTACGTTTGTTGTGCTGGGCCTGCTGTACGTATCCCTTGGCTGTCGGCCCTCCACCCTGCCGCCGCGCTCGGGGATGCAGCAGCTATCATGATGGAAAAAAAACACAGACACAATGAATCGTCAATTCCCTAGAAACTATGGGGAACTATGGGAAGTGGTGGGAAGACAAAAACCCAGAAACTATTGGAAAATACGGGGAATCCTGTCATTTGTGTGTATTGATTTGCGTGTCCCTTGGCCCCTTCATGAGCTATTTCTGCGCCATCCCTCCCTCCACGCCTGGACCTACCACGGCCCGCTCTGTTCTCTGGTCGCCGGCTCCTGGTTCTCTCGGACCCGTCCCCTGCATTTACGTCGGGCGTGTCCCCCTACGGGGGGATTTTGGGCTAAGAATAAAAGATACTCAAAACATACCCTCCTATTATTCAAAAATAGTAGAACGAATCGTCCCCCCCCCCCTGTAGAGGGACACGCCCGACTTAACCCTGCATCGACGAAGAAGACACGCCACAAGCATAAACTTGGAGCGCTCCGCCCGGACGCCTTGGATCTGCGCTGGGCCGCCCCTGGCCCGCTCCGCGTGCCAGGGAGGGGGTTCCAGCGCGGACCCAAGAAAGCCGCGCGAAGCGCCACAAGTTCATGTGTGTAGCGTTTCTTCTTTCTACTATCTGCGAGGTCGCTTCCCCTCCGGGGGGTCCAGCGCGGACCCACGACATCCGCGCGGAGCGCCACAAGCGCCTGCGTGTGGCGTTTCTTGATGCCTTCCACTCTCGGCCCCCCTCCCCTGGAGCTGGCCGTGGATCTGCGGGGTCGCTTCCCCCCCCCCCCGAGGCGCCCACCGTGGCCCCCGGGCCCTCGAGCTCAGCACTGGTTGGGAGGCGACATGCATTATCGGGGGTGGATAAACCTCCCACCTTGACACGTCGATTAGTGAATTGGCCGTTTTCGGTTCGCGAGAGGGCGTCGCGGCCGTCATGTTTGCGGGTCCAGGTCCGTCGGTTTCTGTCCTAGGCCGTTTTCACGAAGGGGAGGTTTACGAAAGGGAGGTTCGTCCACCGCCGAAGTTAGGGGGGTCAGAAACATGAGGGATAGGGGGTCTGCTCCTTTGTGGGCCCCGGAAACGGCAGGGCCGTTTTTTCACCGTTTCCGAAAAAATGTCCCTTGAAAATGGAAACGGCAAAAAAACGGCGACCAGAAACGGCCAAAAAACGGCTCAAGGATTGGAACCGGAGCCGGAACCGGTGACAAAAAGGCGACGGAACTGGTAAAAAAAAGACGGCGTCGGAACCGGTAACAGAAACGGCAAAGCGGAACGGGTAACAAAAAACGGCCCTGTCGTTTCCAGGGCCCGTTTGAGGTCTGCTCTACAGATGAGTCGAAAGAAGCCGCCCGCATGCATCATCCCTAGCGCAAGGGCGGGGCCCTCAGCGAGGCCACGTCCTCACTCCGTTATTGGGCTCCGAGAGGTTCTCGCGCCTTCGACCAGGGATGGGGGGGGGGAGCGCGTGAGGCCCCGCCCGCTGCACCTTCCCGGGGCCCACGTCGAGCCGATCGAGGAGGAGGAGGAGGAGGAGGAGGAGAGGAGGGGGGGGAGGAGGAGGGGGGGGGGGAGGAGGAGGAGGAGGAGGAGGAGGAGGGGGGGGAGGAGGAGGAGGGAGGAGGAGGAGGAGGAGGAGGAGGAGGAGAGGAGGAGGAGGAGGAGGAGGAGGAGGAGGAGGACGGTACTGGATCTGGCCAGCCCGAGCCGACTCGATGCGGCCACGCGCAGAGGGTGGCTCCCCGAGCAGTGCTTGCACGGAAGCGGTCCTACAGCGGAAGTTGAAAGACTGGAATGGTCTCCGGCCAGTCAGGGCCGCCGATCCGGGGGGGGCTCCGGATTCGGTGATCTTCGCGGGGCTCTGTGGCTTCCTCCCCCCTCGATGCTTCCGGTCCTCTTTGCTCTTTCTCCTCTGGGAGGGATGCCTGGAGCGGAAGTGGAAAGATTTGGCGGAAGCTTCCCGCCGATGTTGGTAGCAGGTCGGGTTCCTGGTTCCAGGTTCCCGGGTTCCCGGTTGTTGGTTCCGGGCCGATTTCGGTAGGTTCTGGGTTCCCGGGCTCCCGGGTTCCCGGTCGATCGCCTTGGCGAAAACCATCCACTGATTCGGGGGTTTCTTTGGTGTAGTAGAAGCACCTTGCTTCTTAGAAGGCGCGGGCCTTGCCTATTGGCGGACGGCCAGCGCCTTCGCAGGAGCAGCCCCATTTCTAAGAAGCCCTCCCGGACCCCCCTCTGCGCGCCGCCAACCGATGTCCGTCCGGGAGCTCTGAGGCGGCCCGGTGCTCGCATGGCTCCAGTGGTGCATCCTGACCTGCCGATGCAGCCCGATCCGACGCACCGATCCGTTAGGAGGCAGTTCTTTGCATTTGAAGTTTCGAGTCGCCTCGGCGCTGGTGCCTCCGTGGTCGAAGTTCTGGCCGAATACAGCTCAGGCCCGCGTAAGTTTGCAAAGTCCCCGTGTTTTCGGTTGGGTCCCTGGCGCTATCTGGCTTCAATCCGGTTCGTTGGCCATGTATTCGGGCGTGGTAGCTCTCAGCCGTTCTCGGGCAGGCCTCCCAAGAGCTGCCCTCTAAGATTCGGTCTGATTTCCCGGCGCGATGCTGATCGTCTGGGTCTCGGAGGACGCGTAATTCATGGGGGTGATGCATGGGGGAGCGAGGGCTGCCGAAAAGGGGCCATTTAGGCCCCCGAAGGAGCCATTTCGTGTCCAGAAGGGGGCCTCGAGGGCTCGAAAAAGGCACCTTATTCCCCCCCCCAAGTATTGTCGCTCCAGATGAATTCTCGGGGTTCAAAAGACAGGGGTTCATGCAAACGAGGATCAGTCAGAGCGCCAGATCTTGCCGGATCCTGCACGGCCAGGGTTGCATTGACCCGGGTTTGGGTGCACCATGTCGCAGGACTCTGCAGGATTTTGCAGGAGGCTGCAAAACCTGACCGGCCCGGTCTGGATAGACCCGCGTCAGTAGATCCCCGAGGGAAGGGGTCGGGGAAATGAGGGGGAACGTGGGGGGAGGTGGAGAGGTGGGAGTTTTTTGTTTTTGCTGTAGACCGCTGCTGCGCACGACTTCGAAAGAGGCGCCCGCGCAGGGGGAGAAAAGAGGTTTGAACCGAAATGGCACCCAGTCGACGACGACGTGGAAACCAAAGAAGAACCAGGCCGAGTCCACCCAGCCGCCAAGGAAATTGAACCCGATCACGATGCCATAGGAGTTCGCACCAAGGATGTAGACGACGAGATTCGGCTCGGCGCGAGACCTCAGGAAGAAGATGTGTCTAATTGAAAATGCAGTGCCTCTGGGCCTCCTAGATGGGTCGTAGCAGCTGGGGTCGGGGGATCGCGCCGCATCGCCGATGCACCGGCGATGCGGTTCGATGTGGAGCCCGATTTTCTCCACGCCGACGTCGCCGATGCACCGCCGACGTCGCCGATGCATTGGCGATGCGTCGCGAGCCTCCGACCCCATGGACTCCGGCCCCATCCAGTAGGCCTCCTAGTGTCCACACCATTGTTCGAAGGCTCGCTCCGCTACGCCTCGCATCTTCGGCATCTTGGTCGACGCGCCCCCCGGGGAGAGCGAGGGGCCCATAGGGGGAGCTCGGGCGCAGGAGGGGTCCCAAGAGCGGCGCCAGCAGGGCGGGAGAGGGAGCAGAGGAGAGCACGAGCCCTTTGTCGCGTCACTTGGCCATGCTATCCCACAGGAGGCCATTGTTAGAGAACCAGAGATAATACAAAGAACCCCTAACCTTACTGACGCGATGAAGGCGTGGCCGCACTGAGGTCCCCGTCTTTGCATTAGGGATAATGGTAATGGGCGATTTGGTTCGATGCATCTGCAGAAGAGACCCTCTATCCCTACTGTTTTTGTCCCTCCTAACTTATTCCCCCCCCAAAGGGTTAGGGACCCTTTTTTGTTGATCAGGAGAGGCGCAGCTATCGCCGCCGCGAGTCATAATCCCGCGGGATGCGTTGAGCCTTCGCAAGCGCCACCATAGCAAAACCACTTCTTCACCTGTGAGTTTGGAGGGCGAATGAGGATACGGAAGGGGGGCGGGTCGGAGCCAGGATGGAGAGACGAGGGCTGGCGGTGCCCCGCTCGCCCAAGCTTACACGTTTCCTCCGCCTTCGCGGGGCATTCATGCGTTCTTTCGTGGCCGGTATGACGCCCATTGCGGCCATACCTGGGTCCCTTATGCGTCTATGTGTAATCTCTCGGTGCCCTGCCGTAACAATCTCGGGCTCGTCGGTCTCTCACAGGGCCCGGTGAAGCACATCAGGCAATTGTTTTTCCCAACCATCCTGTGGTGTTGGGTCCTCGTTTTGAAGAGACAGCGCCCCGCGTATCTTCTCCCCCACTCCTCCTCGCCCCCCTTCCTCCTCCGATCCTTGCCTCTGCCTTCCGAACCAGCCAAATGTTTTGGCACACCCCTCACACGTTTCGTGGCCCCATATGGAGCCCCACCGAAAGCCCAAATGCCAGCGTTCGCACGCGGCCACCGCACCCGTTTCGGCAGACCCCTCACACGCTTCGTGGCTCCACAGGGAGCCCCACCAAAGGCCCAAATGCCAGCGTTCGCATGTGGCCACCGCACCCACTTTGGCACACACTTCATACGCTTCGTGGCTCCATATGGCAACCCCCACAAAAAAAGGCTCAAATGCCGGCGTTCGCATGCGGCCATCGCATCCATTTTGGCACACCCCTCACACGTTTCGTGGCTCCATAGGGTGCCCCAGTTACACCCCAAATGCCAGCGTTCGCATGCGGTCACTTCACCCATTCTGGCACACAGCTCACACGCTTCGTGGCTCCACAAGAAGCCCCACCGAAGGCCCAAATGCCAGTGTTCGCATGCGGCCACCGCACCCATTTTGGCACACCTTTCAGTCGCTTCGTGGTTCCATAGGGAGCCCCACCGAAGGGTCAACCGCCAGCGTTCGCATGCGGCCACCGCACCATTCTGGCACAACCGTCGCACGCTTCGTGGTTCCATAGGGAGCCCCACCGAAGGGTCAAACGCCAGCGTTCGCATGCGGCCACCGCACCCATTTCGGCAGACCCCTCGTACGCTTCGTGGTTCCATAAGAAGCCCCACCGAAGGCGTAAATGCAAGTGTTCGCATGCGACCACCGCACCCATTTTGGCACACCCCTCACACGCTTCGTGGATCCATACGGAGCTCCACCGAAGGCACAAATGCAGCCACCGCACCCATTTTGGGAACACCCCTCACACGCTTCGTGGCCCCACAGAGAGCCCCATCGACGGCCCGAATGCCAGCGTGCGCATGCGGCCACTGCGCCCATATGGCGCACCCCTCACACGCTTCGTGGCTCCACAGGGAGCCCCACCAAAGGCCCAAATGCCAGCGTTCGCATGCGGCCACCGCGCTCATTTTGGTAGACCCCTCACACGTTTCGTGGCTCCATAAGGAGCCCCCACGGAAGGCCCAAATGCCAACGTTCGCATGCGGCCACCGCGCCCATTTTGGCACACCCCTCGCACGTTTCGTGGCCCGACAGAGAGCCCCACCGAAGGCCCAAATGCCAGCGTTTGCATGCGGCCACCGCACCCATTTCGGCAAACCCCTCACACGTTTGGTAGCCCCATAGGGAGCTCCGCCAACTGCGGTGCATACAACGACGGTGTTCACGATTGCATATGTTTGGGTCTTTCGCTAGGCTAATTTTCGTTTGTGCGCAATGTGGGAGCGTTTAGAGCTCCCTTGAGTCTTTCTTTTGGCCGTCTTGGGTTCCTTCAGATGGCCTCTCGGGCCCTCATGTTGGGATGGAACTCTTGTTATGGTAGTGGCCTGTCGCCAGGGCCGCCGATCCGGGGTGCTACCGATTCTGCTTGCAACGGATGACATTTTATGTTGAAGAGTGGAGCACTCGCTCGAGACATCCTCATAAGATAGAGATGGGATGTCCCCTCCCACCTTCTGGGCCTGAATGGCGTCAGCCACGGCGTCGGCCCCCGCCCCCTCGACTCCCCCTTCCCGGGCGTGAATGGCGTCAGCCATGGCGTCGGGCCTCCCCCCCTCCTCTCCTCTCCCGAGCCTGAATGGCGCCAGCCATGGCGTCAGCCCCCCCCCCCCCCCGACAGAGTGAGGCGAGAGCTCCTCCCCCCCCCGTCCCGCGCCTGAATGGCGTCAGCCATGGCGTCAGCCCTCCCCATCCCCCCCGACTCCTCCCTCCCGGGCCATGGCGTCAGCCATGGCGTCACCCCCTCCCCCCCCCCTTCCCCCCTCCTGGGCCTGAATGGCGTCAGCTATGGCGTCAGCCCCCTCCCCCCCCGACAGAGCGAAGCTTGAGCGAGCTCCCCCCCCCTCCCCCCTCCCGGGTCTGAATGGCGTCAGTCATTATGGCGTCAGCTCGGGATGAAACTCTTGTTATATCTGTGACCGGGAACCGGCCTAATCCGGCATAATCTTTTAATCTTGCTAAGTCGGCTCAGTCGTGTTGAATTTTGGACCTACTCCGGGTGAGTCCGACTTACTGGCGCGTTCGTCGGGCTTCATCGCCCTTCATCGTTCTTGCGACGACCCGCCAGGAGTTGTTCCCCAACTCACGGGGCGATATTGGCCAGTCTTGGGCCGTGTTTCTAGGCCTCCCAGATGGGGTCGGAGCAGATGGGGTCGAAGGGCTTCGCCAGATCGCCGATGCATCGGCGATGCATCGGCGATGCGGCTGGATGTAGAGCCCGATTTTCTTCACGCCGACGTTGCCGATGCATCGCTGGCGTCGCGGGTGCATTGCGAATGCATCGGCGATGCATCGCCGATGCGGCTCGATCCTCCGACCCCATCTAGGAGGCCTCTAGTGTTGGGCATCTGTCGGTCGGCTCCTCGCTCTGGCTCTTGCGGCGGTGTCCGGAGGAGCATCCCCGTTGACAGGTGAGCGGTGCAGGCGTGAGAACGCATGTAAGCGCCCTCGTCTCCAATGTGGCGTGCAACGCTGGTGGCCCAAATACAGTCGGTGCCCTGAAGAAGGAACCCTTTTCGTTGGGGAGGGGCTCCGTGTTCCTTGATAGTTTCGCAGCTTGCCTTAGGTTTTCCTTAGGTTTTCGATGTGAAGTCGAAGTTTAACTTATGGAAAATAGGAGCCTTGTTCCTTATTTAGGGTTCCTTAGGTCAACGCCCCGACTGTAAGCCACCGCGTAAGGTCGCCATGCCATCTCGCGCAAGGCGCCGTTCTTTGTGTCGCTCCTGCGATGCCCCCGCGTTGGCGCGGAGATCGCAGAGAGGGGAAGCGGATGAGGATTGCGATGAGGGCCCTGGTCGAGGAAGCGCTATCGTGGATGAAGCGTGGATTTGCGGCGGCCTTCGCTTCCGTGCAGGATCGGTGCCCTCCGTCGCAGAGTCAAGCGGCATCGGCGCACTGGTTCGGGTTTTTGTTCCCCTGGTGCGTGGATCTGGCGCCGACGCGCCAGAGCCAGGGATCCCCAATCCGTGCTGATTAGTGTGCGCCCGACTTGGACCGTCTTGGCCCCCTCGTGGGCTCCATTGGGTTGATATCGTGCTGCCGTCTCGGGGGGGATCCTGGGTGCCCTCTGCGCCGTCTTCGAGGCTGCGACGCCCGAAGAGGCGAGCGCACCAGAAACTTGCAACCCATGACACCGGGGCCTCTTGGCGCCACTTGTTGTCGTCTGCCTTCTTTGCGTGGGCCCTTTGGAGGGCCTCTTGGGGTAGTCTCCGTGCCATGCTGCGGCCATCTCTGACCCTCGTGGGCCAATCATCAGAGCGTGAATTACCTACCCCGCTCTCGCTCCCAGGGAAAACCAAGCCATACCATGCGCCTCCTCGTCAAGCGGCCTGACCAGTACAGGCTGCAATTTGGCATCGCTTGGTACCTCTTGGAAGCGAGGGTGGTCAAAAGCGAGGTAGGTTTGTTTGCCCCCTAAATGAGCAAGGGGCGCCCTCGGGCCCCCGAGGGCGCGAGGTCATTCGCGCCTCGCGGTGCGGCTCCGATCCTTCCTCCTCCTCCTCTCCCCTGGGGAGGCGGCGCGAGGGCGCGAAGTTCTTCGCACTTCGCGCCCTCGCGCCGCGCGAAGCGCGACGTTGGGAGCCCTTGATGAGAGACTCTCTGGGGATGTCTGTGGGGCTCTGGATAGCGGTTGGCGGCGTTTGCGGCGAGGGGGGGGGGGCTGCAAATTTGCGTGCGTTGGGAGGGGGGAGGGGGCCAGACGCGTGCCCCAACCAACGGGTTCGATGTCTGTTCATGGGAGCCTTGGGCGGCGACATTGAAATCAGCGTTTCCTGCATTCGGACAGCGTGGGGACCGCATTTGGCCCATCCTCCTGCTCCTCCTCTCCCCTCCGGTTCCCCCTCCCCCTCCTCGTTCTCCTTGCCCCCACGAATTCAGTCCAAGTCTGGTCCGAATCCAGTCCGAATTTGTTCCAAATCAGGTCCACATCAGGCCCAAATTGGACAGTGCCCGGGGCCACGCAGGTTCCCATTGAACGGACACCAAAAACGGGTATTCGATACCATGTTTCGGATCTCAAGGGCTTCTGTGAACGGTTATGCGGCCTCTGTTGAGCCTCCAAGGCACCATTCGGGCTTCATTGGGGCCACCACGGAGGCAGATACGGCTTCGAAGTTTGGCCAGCCGTTTTGGATGCTAGCCTTGGCGATGTTGACTCACGGTGGAGCCACATTGGGCTTTACTCAGGGCCGTCACGACTCCCTATATGTAGTGGCCTTCCAGGGCCCATTTCGATCCAATCGATTCAATTCAATATTGATTCAGGTCGGTTTGATTTAATTTGATGTTGACCCTCGGATGAGGCGTGCTGTGTATTTTGAAGCGGCCGATTCCATTCGGTTCCGACTCCGCACCGATGCGGCACGACTCGATACCAGACCCGCTCCGAATTAGTCGATTGGCAGCTGACCGCTCCTATCTTCAGCCTATCCCGCCACCTTGTCTGAGTCGTGGAGAAGAAGCGTACTGGAAGCCCATTGGGCGGAAGCTCGGGTGTTTCTTAGGGCCTTGGGGGTACTTCCTGGGGGCCTCTGCCCGCAGTCTCGGGGGCCATCTTAGGGAAATGGGTTCGCAATGTCAGTTCGGGTTCCCTCTCTGGCCCCTGTGTGGGGCCGCTTTGGCCCTCTTGGACCTCACGGGCCGTCTTGGGCAATATTGAGTGCCTCTGGAGCCGTATGGATGGTTTTGACGCAGAGACCAGGCTCGTTGAATTCCTGGTCTGGCTCACGCTCTGAGGATTTCGGCGATTTGGGCATCTTGGGCTGTTGCCGAGGTCCACAAATACGGTCCACTTGGCGCCCAAGAGGGCTTCAGAGCACGGTGGCGGATGTGATGACACGACGGTCGTTGAAAGTTTAGGTGGTTTGATATCCAGATCTCAATCTAGTTTAGGCGTTTTCCTACTTCAAGAGTCTAGTTTAGGCCCTCTTCCTCCGCATTCAGGGTGCGGGCGGAGACTCAAGCTACGTCCAACGTATTCCTACTCCATGTTTCCAGCCACTCCTTCCGACCGACGGGTATCGATTCCCAAATCCCGTCTACCAAGGAGCTTCAGATATTCCCCGCGAATGCTGGAAAACCCTGCCAATCGCAATTTAAGAAATCTCAAAACCAAGTAGTCGGACGAACATTGCTGAGAGTTGCGCCTAGAGGCGCGACGGCGGATTTGTGATCCTCCAAGGCAAAGTGACAAGCGATACCGCACGGGAGACGAACAACATCACTGTCAGCGGTCTTTCTCTCGTGGCAGCGTGGAGTTGGGAGCATTGCTTCACGCTGGCCTTCGACGTCATTGGGCACCGGTACAACGTGGGATACCAAGGCCTTGTGCCTAAGATCCTGATGGCCACCGTGATACCGATTATCGTGATTCCCACCTACGTGAAGCACGTCCGGAAGTCCGTCCTGGAAGCAGAGGAGGCCGAGGAGCAGGAAGACGAAGAGCGCAAGAGACGTATCTTGGAGAGGTCTGGCCTTACGCCGCAAAGTGAGGCACACTCACCTCATGGGGCAGCATTCAGCCCCTAGGCGGCATGGCGGCCACCTGAGGCCCTCACCGCTGAGGCCAGAATGGCGGGCGCGCGCGACCACTCCGCTACCATTCCCCCTCTCGGTGCCACTCAAGGCTAGGCTCAATGCCGCACCCTCATTTGGCCTTTTCCGCATGAAAGCTCTGCGCCACGCAAGGAACAGGAGCCCTCATGGATGCCCCAAAAGAATGGGGGGTGGACAGAACCCACACCCTGGCACATCAATTAGTGACTTGTCCGTTCTCGGTTCTCGAGAGGGCGCCGCGGCCGTCCTTTTCCGGGCCCGCGCCCGCCAGGTTTGGGCCCGAGGTCGTTTTCACCACACCACGCTTTACGAAAGCGGATTCTGTCCATCCCCGAAAGCTCCTCCTCCACCTCCTCGTCTGCTTCCTCCTCCTCCTCCTCCTCCTCCTCCTCCTCCTCCCCCTCCTCCTCCTCCTCCCCCTCCTTCTCCTCCTCCTCCGCCTCCTCCCCCTCTCCCTCCTCCTCCTCCTCCTCCTCCACCTCCTCCTCGTCTGCTTCCTCCTCCTCCTCCACTGAACTTGGTGGATCCCGTGCCCGCTCGCATCCTGCGCGTGGGCCCGTCTCGAACAGCACGATACTCCGTGTGGCATCGACAAGACCACCACCGCCGCACTCCGTGTGGCGACCCTGCGCGCACCACCCGTCTTCCTCTGCGCCAGACCCCGACGTCGCGTTTTTTGTTTTTCGATATATACATACACACACATATATATGTATATATATATATATACACACAGTCGGGGCCCTGAAGAAGGAACCCTTTTCGTTGGGGAGGGGCTCCGTGTTCCTTAATGATTTCGCAGCTTGCCTTAGGTTTTCCTTAGGTTTTCGATACGAAATTGAAGTTCAACTTATGGACAAAGGCCCCCCTTCCTTGTTTTGGGTTCCTTCGGTCAAGCCCCCGACTGTAATTTGTTAATGAATGTTTGTGCCACATGATTAAACAACAAATTTATGTTAAACAATAACGTATAGCATGTTTGTGCATATATATATATATATATATACAAATCTAGTTAATAGAGAATTGAACAAGGGGGCCCAGACGTTCCGACCCTTCTTCCCAGGGCTGGCTCCGCATGCCGTGTCGTGCTTTGACGGTCCCGGGTCCCGGGGCCCGGCGAGGGCCCCTGGAGGCCCGAAAGACGGAACACTTCTGCATGGGAATGTTGTATTACTTGGCACGAACGAAATGGGTACGGAAATAATGGGTATAATGCCCGACAGCAGTTCTGGCTCATTTTGAACAGGACTCGCTGTCTGCGCCGCCGCGGCCTGTGTCCATTTGAGACAGAAGGCCGCTTGCCCAACAGCGGCCGCTGTTGGTTTGGGACAACACTTGTTGTTGGGCATTGCACCCATTCTTTCCGTACCCATTTCGGGCGTCCAACATTACGATGGATGGGTGGGTTTCCTCCCACGGCCCGCTCCTTGGTTAGGTTCAACATCGGCGCTGGCGGTCGAAGGCCTAGACTGGCGCAATCCCGTCTGATCCAGCTTTACAGTCGGCCGAATTTGGCGTCAGCCGCTTTAGTGGACTCTGGCTGGGTAGCATCAAGGGCGCGCCTCGCGGTTCGGCTCCGATTCCTCCTCATCCTCCTCTTCTCCCTTGGGAGGCGGCGCGAGAGCGCGAAGTTATTCGCACTTCGCGCTTCGCGCAGCGCGAAGCGCGAAGTTGGGAGCCCTTGATTAGTGGACTCTGGCTGGGTAGCACTCAGTCCCTGCAATGAAGACCTTACAGCAGTTGCCTCCCAACAAGAGCAGCACAAGTCTCCAGTCGGACGGGGCTAGGACGAGGAACAATTCGTCCCAGAGTTTTCTGGAACGCTCTCGGAGAGCGTTCCTCTCTGAGATGGCCGCGGCGCCCGAGATAACCTCCAGAGCCGCCGGGTCTCAGAGATCCTCGAGTTATCCTCACCCGACTCTATCTTCGTCCTGGCTCCAGAGCCGCCAGATCTCAGAGATCTCGAGTTATCCTCACCCGAATACATCCTCTTCCTGGCTTCGTCCTACCCACGGCCCCTCTGTCCTTCAGGGGAGCAGCCTCGCCCTGGCCTCGGCTTATGCCCAGGACCCGAGCATCGCTCGGCGAGAGGGGGCGGAAGGAGGCGATCCCTCCCATCGGCGAACTTATCCTCGTGCTGGCCTCTCCTCCCTCCAGGACCCGAAGCTATCCTCCAGGAGTTATCCCCACCCGACTCGATCCTCTCGAAGAACGAAAACGCCATGAACATAATATTTGAGCGCTTAGCGCTGATTTCTTGCCGCATTGGCCCCCCTGGCGCGCCAGGGAGGGGGGTCCAGCGCAGATCCGAGAAAATCCGCTCGGAGCGCCAACAGTTGATGTTCATGGCAGTTTGTCTTCTTCCGTCCTCGTCCTGGCACCAGGGCCGCCAGTTCTCAGAGATTCTCGGGTTGCCCTCGCCCGAGTTCTTGTTTGCCCTCGTCCTGGCTGCCCAGGGCCCCTCCCTCCGGGGGCCCGCCTCCTCCGCGCCCGAAGAGCACTCCCCGAGCGCGGCCGGCAGGAGCTCTGGCTGGGGGACAACCGCCTCAGCGACAGCGGCAGGGCGCGGCTGCGGGCCGCCGGCGTCCGCAGCCTGCCCATGCTCGGGTGAGGAGCTGGCGGCGGCGAGCGGGAAAAGCGCACGCTCGCGTTGCGGAGCGAAGAAGATCCGATTAACGGGCGAAGTACGGTAGAACATAAACTCTTTCGCTGTCGGGGGCGCCTGTCCCAGGGCGGCTGGAAAGTTTTACATCCTTACGGAGGCACCGTAGGGGTATAAACATTCCAGCCGCCCAGGGGCAGGCGCCCCCGACAGTGAAAAAGAGTATTTTCTGTTGTTCTTCGCCCGTTAATCTGAGGCGGGGATTTGTCCATCAGCTGCACAAACAGAAAGTTTCGACGGTCCGCGCGGATTTCTGAGATCCGCGCTGGGCCCCACCAGCGGCGCCTCCGGGGCCGCCCCTGGCGCGCTCCGCGCGCCAGGGAGGGAAGTCAGGCGCAGATCCGAGAATCCGCGCGGAGCGCCACAAGTTTTTGTTTATGGCGTGTTTTTGTTTTGTTTTACATGTGTCCATGATCGCTTCCTGTCGATCTTCGCGCATTCGATGCGTTTCTGGTCTCCGTGGTCTTCGTCTAGCTATCGCGTGCGTCCTGCGCTCTCATTTTTTGTTAGACTCAGGTGAGCAATTTCGCTTGTTCAATGATGGGGTCCTGAGGGCTGGGGTCCCAAGCTCGAGGTGCACCTCCTTGGGACCCCTTCCCTGAGTACCCCCCTCTGTGAATCACCGGCAGTTGGCGGCGGCGAGCGGGAAAGCGCAAGCTCGCGCTGCTCGAAGGAGAGAACAATGGCATGAACGTAAACTTTCAACGTCCGCGCGGATGTTTTGGATCTGCATTGGGCCCCCCTGGCGGCGCCTCCGACGCCGCCCCTGCACGGATCCGAGAAATCTGCGTGGACCGTCGAAAGTTTCCGTTCATGCCGTCTCTTCTCTTTCCAGCTGCGGAGCGAAGACGGTCCGAGGCGGGTACAGTCGGGGCCCTGAAGAAGGAACCTTTTTGGTTGGGGAGGCGCTCCGCGTTCCTTAAGTGTTTCACAGTTTGCCTCAGGTTTTCCTTATGTTTTCGATAGGAAATCGAAGTTTAACTTATGGAAAAAAGGGGCCTCGTTCTTTATTTAGGGTTCCTTAGGTCAACGCCCCGACTGCATGTGCCCATGATCACCGCCCGTGGGATCGATCTTCGGGGACCTCGGCAGGCGGTGGACGCGAATGCATGCGGGGCCCTCGCGCTGCGGAGCAAGGACCCCCCCGCCCGGGTTGCTCGTCAGCTGCAGCCCCCGGGCACCCTCCTGGGACACGAGGAGCGACAGCAGGCAATGGCTCGGGACGCAGAGACAGCCTCGGGGAACGGGTCGGGGCATCCGCAGGTACCCCGTGATTATCGAGGGAACAATGCATGGGATCCTTGGACTCGCACTGCGGAACGAACAAGAAACATCTGCATTCACGTAGACGTTATGAGGTCCGCGCGGATGTGTTGGATCGGTGTTGGTCTCCCTGGCGGCGCCTCCGTCGCCGCCGCTGGCGCGCTCCGCTCGCCAGGAGAGGCTTCAGCCCCGATCCAAGACATCCACGCTGACCTCCGACAGTTTATCCTCATGTCCAAGGGCGCCCTCGAGGGTGCGAAGTTATTCGTGCTTCGCGGTTCGGCTCCGACCTTTCCTCCTCCTCTTCTCCCCTGGGAGGCGGCGCGAGAGCGCGAAGTGATTCGCACTTCGCGCAGCGCGAAGCGCGAAGTTGGGAGCCTTGGCTCTTGCTCATCTTGCGCATGCTATGCGACGAACGTATTTCTGGCCGTTTTCGGTCCCCAGGCCCTTGCCAGGTCCCAGGGCCGTGCAAGAGCCACTCTGCCACTCCGTGATGAAGAGCGCTGTCCCGAAGAAGGTGTCTAGATTCTTGGCGTCCACGCTTTGAAGAAGAAACAGGCACACGACGCCGTGGCTCTAGGGGTATCGGGGGCCTCCAATCGAGGGAAGCAGCACAATGACTGTGATCAATATGTCGTGGGACCTTGTCGACGCCGATCTTGGTCATGGTTCCTGCCAGCCGCCGTCGATCCGCGAGGGTGATCCACGAATTCACGATGACCGAGGTGGCTGGCGACCAAGATCAGCACCGACGTTTCCGCGCGCAGTCTTGATCATCGCCTCTCTGCCTTCCGTGAAAACACGCGCCAGGCCCCCAGGTCACGAAAACCCCTGGGAACCAGGGCCTGCGCTCCGGTGCTCCGCGCCCCGGGCGGAGCTGGTTCCCTCGAGCCGCCATCGCTCGACCAAGCAGCGGGCAGCCGCCCACGGGGGGCCCCTCGCGCACAGCGCAGAGGCACAACACTGGCTGCATCACCCGCGAGGGCGCGGCGAGCAGCCTCAGGGACAACTCAGGAGGGACAAAAAAACACACAGATACAATTGATCGTCGATCCCCAAGAAAGTATGCGGAAATATGGGAAGTGGGGGGAAGACAGAAACCCAGAAAATATGGGAAACTATGGGGGATTGTTTTGTTTGTGTGTATTTATTTGTGTGTCCTGGGGCCCCTTCGATAACGATCGGGGGGATGGGCACAGGGCGGGATGCATCGACCCCCCATGGCCCATTGTTCGGCGGCACTGCGGGGCCCGAGAGCCCCAGTCCGCCCAGGAAGGTGCAGATTCGCTATCGGGGGCCCATCGCCGACCCCTCGGCGACGTATCTCGGGAGTGGACAGAGCCCCCAACAGTGACACGTCGATTAGTGAGTTGTCTGTTTTCGATTTTCGAGAGGGCGCCGTGGCCGTTCTTTTCCAGGCCTGCGCCCGCCAGGTTTGGGCCTCAGGTCGTTTTCACTAAACCACGTTTTGCTAAAGGGGGGCCTGTCCATCCCCGAGTATCGTCGATTCCTGGTCGATGCATCCCCTCGTCATTGCGCCAGTACCCCCTTCTCGTTGCCCCTCACCCTCGCCTCGCTGGGTCTGGGCCAGGGGGGCTGCTCTTCTCGGGCGGCAGGCAGCGGGGCCGGCGCGAACGGGGCTCGGCCAGATCGGGGCTCAAGAGACGGGGGTCCATGCCAACGGGGGTCCGTCAGAGCGCCAGGGCTTGCAGGAGTCTGCAGAGCCAGGGGCGCACTGACCTGGGCTCGGGTGCAGGTTGCTGCAGGACCCTGCAGGAGTCTGCAGGATCATGCCAGGCCTGACTGGCCCGGGTCCAGATTGACCCGGGTCACTAGATCCCCGAGGGAAGGGGTGGGGGAGAGGAGGGGGAAGGAGGAGGGAGGAGGTGGAGAGGTGGGAGGAGGAGGAGGAGGAGGAGGAGGAGGAGGAGGAGGAGGTGGGAGGAGGAGGAGGAGGAGGAGGTGGGAGGAGGTGGAGAAGAGGAATGAGGTGGCAGAGGAGAGGAGGAGGAGGAGGAGGAGGAGGTGGAGGAGGAGGAGGGAGGAGGAGATGGGAGGAGGAGGAGGAGGAGGAGGAGGAGGAGGAGGAGAGGAGGAGGAGGAGGAGGAGGAGGAGGAGGAGGAGGAGGAGGATCCCCGATCTTCTCGGGCGGCAGGTAGCGGGGCCGGCGCGAGGGGGGCGCGGCGCCAGAGCGCCAGATCTTGCAGGATCCTGGAGTCTCGGACTGTGGCCGAGCCGGGGCCGGGGCCTTCCAGGTGGGGTCCGAGTAGATTCAGGAGGGAAAGAAACACACAGACACAATTAATCGTCGACTCCCAGGAAAATATGCAAAAATATGGGAAGTGGGGGGGAAAACAAAAACCAAACAAATATGGGAAAATGTTTGGAATCTTTTTATTTGTGTGTATTTATTTGTGTGTCCTGGGGCCCCTTCATAGATGGGGTCGGAGGGTCGCGCCGCATCGCCGATGCATCGGCATTGCTGATCGATGCGGAGCCCGATGTGCTCCACGCCGACGTCGCCGGCGCGTCGCCAGCGTCGCTGGTGCATCGCCAATGCATCGGCGATGCATCGCCGATGTGTCGGCGATGCGGCTGGGTCCTCGGAGCCCATCTACTCGGACCCCATCTTAGAGCCCTCTACCAACCCATCGGATTCGATTCGACTTCGGTGGCCTCCGATTCCGCTTCGATTCGATTTCGGATTCCGATTTGGATTCCGAGTCCTCACTGGAGGCCTACCAGCCTGCCGATTTCTGCCGATTCGACTTCTCACGACTTGGCTGCCGACGTCCTTCGATCCGATCCATTTTGATCGTCAACCCGACTTGTCAATTCGATTCTGGCTTCTCCTGCCCCCAACAGGCTGCCATCGCAGCTTTTTCTAGATTGGCTGAGCTGGGTCTGCGTGGAGCCGGGTCTGTCCAATCCCGATCGTCTTCATGGAGGGGGATGGGCGTTGTAGCGTTGCCCGCACTGGGGAGGGTAAGGTTCGCCAGGTCGTTGCCCAAGGTACCCGAAAGTGGAGGACCCGTCAGGGGGGCTGCTGCTTCGGGGAGGGCAGGGGGGCTGACGGGGCCAGGACGAGGATATCGGCTGCACGTGAGAGTGACCCTTCGCTGGAGTGACCCTGTGGTGCCTGCCCACTGGGGTCCCCCGATCGCCAAGCGCGTTGCGATATAGTACAGTCGAGGGGCTCGGTGTTACTTGATTGTTTTACAGTTCGCGTGGGGTTTCCATAGGAAATCGAAGTTTAACTTATGGGAAAAAGGGGCATCGTTCCTTACTTAGGGTTCCTTAGGTCAACGCCCCGACTGTAGCGTCCTGCGCGCTTGCGTGTGGGTACCCCCGCGGTCCCCAGAAAGCTGGGCACCAAAGGCCGCTCTCGCCCGGGGTCCCTCCTTGCGTGGAGTCGGGCGTGTCCCTCTACAGGAGGACTATTCAAAAATAGTCCAAAATGGTATGGGGACGATTTTTCAACTATGTTTGATCATTTAGGGGCATGCTTTGTCGATATGTTCAATTTGTCCTCCAAAATCCGCCGGTAGGAGGACATGGCAGACCTGAATCTTGCGTGCAGCCGAGGGTGAAGCCGGTCCAGAGCGTCCCAGGACGCCCCCAGAGCGTGCCGGCACGCTCCGAGAGGGCGGCGGCGCCCGAGACCTCTCACCGAGCGCGCTCCACT